CAAATGGGAGAAAATGTCTATGTCGACCATGGGAAGCATACCATGTGCACACTCGTGGAGTAAAGGAGTTATTTGAAAGACATTTTCCACTTCGCACGCTTTCGTGGTACAAAGGTAAACAATTCCCCGTACCAAGTGGTACAAGCTAGAAACCAAGGCTGCAAGCTTGTGACCAATCAAAGCGTGCTATCTGTTCGAATGTGTATATCTAAGCTGTTCTTTAGAGTGGCCCACAATTTAGCTTAGAAACCCAATGGACAGATGTGAACTATCTACATTATTTACCATCCCATTGCTTCAATCATTTTTATGAGCTTTAAGAGACTCAAAAAAAAAAAAAACTCAACTTAAGTTTGAAATATTTTGAACTAAGTATGGTTGAAAGATTAGTTACTATATAGAGTAATGATCTTATGGACCTTGTCAAAACGATGGCAAAGGACTTCAACGGATAACTATTGTATTTTGATCTTAATCTCGAGATAAGTTATAAATGTCATCGGCTAACAAGAAAAAACCCCTCTCACTTTCCCTTACCCTCGAGGTACTTTGGAAGTATTTTGAATTACCGTATTCAGTATGGTTAAAAGGGTAGTTTCTATATATTGGGTTTGACTCTATTCTTACACTACTTTTAAGACCGTTACCTCTCCTTTTGAAAACCAAAGCAATTGTGGTGTTTTAGATATAGTTAATCTCGTGCAATTGCAGTGAAAATAATTATAGGATCTTTTAATGTTTTGTATTCAAGGAGAAATTTGTTTAGAGAACTCTTATGTCCGTTAATATAAATGCACCAGCAAAAATGTTGTTCGGAAAATATAATAATTCATGGGGAAATAAGAAATCTTGTGACCTCAAAATGTATGTCAATTGTTTAATTAACTTTCTGCCTTCGTTTCATTCGCCATTCAGCTGGAGTTTCAGTTTAGGTGGAGATATTTTTGAGAGTGAGAGAGAGAAAGAGAGGAGGGAACATGTTGCATGAAGGTGATGGAGAGGGTTGCAACTTGCTTGTGAATTCAGTGATATTTTGAGAGAGAGAGAGAGAGAGAGAGAGAGGCAGAGATGATTCTTGCATGAGAGATAGAGAGAATTGAAGTGGACTTGTAAAGGGGAGCCGTTTATGAGTCGATAAAGTTGGGGCGCGCGTTGTCGCTCAAAAGTTGGAAGGAGGGAACAGCAACATTTGTTGATAATGAAGGGAGGGGACATACAGTCTTTTGTAAGGGCTCGCCACTTTTCTACTTCGTTTCCTGAACCACCCGCTTTCCGAAAGCAACGCCTCTCTCTCTCTCTCGCTCTCTCTGCCCGGAACTAATCTCTCTTTCCCAGTTACCTGCACGTATTAACATTTACGTCGTCCCCTCGGCCCGACTTGTTGACCCGTAGGATCCGGTTCTGGACCTATACAATGTACTTGGCGGGTCGGTTGGGTCAAACCCGACCTAACCTAGTATTTATATGTGTAAAGTACATATAAATATATGATAAAAATATATAAGAAAGTATATAATGAGACTATTTACTTTTAGTATAAGGTGGTCATAATTGAGTTTGATCATTATATATAAAATTAAGTGGCTGCATTTATCTCATTGACCAAGCTTTAAGTTCAAAAGAAGTTCTCTCAAACTTTGTGACCACCCAAGCTATTAGCTTTCAGGTCACATAATTGTAAGTAATTGTGACGTTTTTGTACAAAAAGTCAATGTTCTCATTGTATACAATCCCCTAATGTATTATTAAAACGATATAATATACTTTTTTATATTTGTTATTTGTCAACTTGATGGACTTGACCCACTAGCCTGACCAAATCTGATGGGTCAGGTCCAAGTGCCATTGATTTGGACCCCCGGTTGGGTCCAAATCTAACCTAAACTTAGTTGAGTCATGTCTAGGCCGAGACCCAATCCAACCCATTCCCAGCCTCATTGGCAAATTCCCCCTTTCTCTCTCTCACAATCTCACACACGAACATGGCACTAACACTCAAATGAACTGCCAAACGCAGAGGTGCCGAATTTGCTTGGAATTATATCCAAAATGGGTCCGGATCGGTTCCAAGGCAGTAAAGTTATTTCACGACTTCGGCATCCGGCCGAATTTTTCACTGACTCGCCTGGTTCATTGTTGTGAGCCTAAACGAATCGCCCGAGTCCCAAGTATATCTTAGACTAGGCCGATTCTTGTATGTTCAATTATTGTCTCGCGTTCAATTATTGAACAAAACTTTTTCATTTTCAAAGAAGCACCATCCAAATTTTGGTTTTTTTCTTAAATTTGAGGCATTTTGTCCATCTTTAATTACTCTATTGGATCTGTGTCATATTTTTTGGATCGAATGAAAGCTCGAAGATATTAGAGAGAGAATTTTCAGAGTCTTTTGGGTCCAATCTGCCAATTTACACAGCTTTCTTTCGTTTTTTATCATTGGGGTTGTATACTATGCGACTATTATCTTTGTTAGAAGGAGATCACAATTACGTATAACCATCTGATGTGAAATCTGTTAGCTTGTATGTGTCTTGAAATTTAAAAATAATTATTTTTAAAGTTCGAGCTTAGTCAAGGGAGTACATGTAAGCGAATAATTTCAGTTTAAGATTAATCTTGTCCTCTACGTACCAAATATAAATGGTTTTCTTGTTTACTTTTCGTTCTTTTTTTGTGTTAATCTTGAGGTATATTGTTTGTTTCTCAATTCTCTAGAAAACCTAAAAAAATCTTTTGTGATTTGAGAAAAAAAAAAAAAGGCAATCTAAAAATTTATATGATTGTATTGTGGGTATGTTTCCCTTTTTCAGCACCAATCCGTCGTTTTGTCCCCCATTCTCTTTTGATTTGAATAAACTTCAAAAATTCGTTTATTTTAAACCTTTTTCAATTGCTCTATAAGATCTGTATTGGACCTTTTTTATCTAAACTCTCAATTTTCTTTTACAAACGAAAATAGCATGGTTTTTGGAATTTTTTCATGAATTTCCCAAAAAAATTGGAACGCAACACTTAGATGTAACGATCTCATTTGAGCGGATTGGAATGACATGGTCGAATCAATTCAGCCCATTGTTTTTAAAACCCAGCTATTTTTTTATTTGGATAAGAATTAGTCAGAATCAAACTAGTTCCTGAATGGCACGTGTCTTTGCCCCCACTCTCCTTTTAAAACCCTCCTATTATTTTATTTTTTATTTTTTATTTTTTATCTCATGTTATATAAAGTCCTCTTAAATCGCCGTACAATAACCCACCTTTTTAAAAATATATATATTTTTCCATATAACCAATTCGGACCGATCGAAACTTAATCAAGTTGTCAATTCATTAATCGGACACAGATATGTAAGTGCACAGTCCACCCTAGAGATCTAGATTTCGAAATGCTGGCTCACCTAAACCAATTCGGGTCCGACTGTGTCTTTAGCCTTTCTCTCTCAAATCTCCGACACACCGCATCACATCAAGTGGTGAGTGTTTGAGGGGAGAGACATGGTTCGAGCGAAATGAATTTGTCTCGTAGTACCGCAGGGTCCTACTGTACACTTAAAAAGGAAGGCAACCCAATAAATTTGTCAATTTTCACACGTCACACATAGGATAGAGACAACCTCATACAAAAAGTCCTTCACTTTTTGACTAATAAATCTTACAAAAAGCAGGACCTTTTGAAAAGGCTTCTAACCCCAGTCCGCATAACCGACATTGGAAACACCTCTCTTTCTCTCTCTCTAAGAACGGATTTGATGTAAACATCGTCCAAATGATCCCAGCTTAGGCAACTTTGGGACCATTATTTAAAAAACGGATCGGTGATTAGGATAGGGCATCTTGAAAATCGGTTTGGATTGGAGAATAGGCGGTCTGGATCATCGTTTTATTGTATAGAAAAAATAGTGAGCCAACGAAAAAATACATACAAAAACAGTGAGCCGGCCAAATCCGGTTTGAAACGGTGAATCAACATCTTACTGTAACAAAATACCAATTTACTCTAGTAAATCACCAGTTCTCTTCTAAACTTGGACGATTTTCTATATATTGATAGAATTGACAGTGTGACCAATTCCCGGATTGGATCAAACGATTTTGTGCCGACCCAGCATTTTTTAAATTATTATATGTACTATGTTTTAGGACCAATTCCTTTCGGAATGGTATACTTCAACTACATGCTTATGTTTTATAAAAGGTCACAATTAAACCTAGTTGCCAAATGAGAAATTATTCAATTGCTAAGGACTTATCGTAAAGATAGAGGACATTTATCTTCGACTTTGAGCTCGTTAATAGTGTTAAAAAGCAGCACCTTCCTGTCTATGTGTGAATCAAAGAGAAGTTTCTAATTAATTATTTGTATCACCAAACTACAGGCAATAGCATATGTAAATTTTTGGAACTTGAAAATTAACCAATAGACTAAGATTTATGTGAAAAACCTTTGTAAAAAAGGATAGAACCATGGGATGGTGGTGTCAAGTGAATCACACCAAGCAAAAATATAATTATAATGGTTTCTCCTAAGCTGATTGAACTTAGCTTGAAGATGTGAGAAGGAAATCGGTTACCACTGTGAGATCAATTTCCCTATTCTCTTTCGCTTCTCAAGAGAGTGGAAAATACTTTTCTCCAAAGCTCATTGGAGAATACATCACTTCAATGAAAGAGAAGCAAACACCCATGTAAATTTCAACTATCTAAATAAGACCTAGAGTGAGAAAGAAAGCCACGTCTTTTTCTTGTGTTTTCTTGTTTTTGTCCTTTCAGTATCTACCGAAGAATAAAACAATATATTTATAAGGAACTCTAATTATAATTTTTTTCATTTTCTAGTTACTTCTCTTGCAAATTTTTTTTTTCTCCAAAGAAAATGACTTCCACTCTCATTCCAAATATCTCCTAGCAGCCACCATCAACTCAGACACCCCCCAGGAAAAGTACCAAATTTGTGAAAAATTTGGACATACTGCACTAAAGTACTGGCACCGATTCAATCATATATGCCAAGAAAAATACATTTTTCAAGCTCTTGCTGCAGTGACTATAGCAAATTCCCAAAATTCGGAATGGTTTCCAAACATTGGTGCCTCAACGTATATGACAGGAAACCCAGGTAAACTGCAAAACCTTCGATTTTATAGTATTAGAAATACAATCATGATTGGCAATGGTGAAGTGAGCAATGTTGAAATCTGAGGATGAGGTTGTCAGAGCTCTCAAACATCGATTTTGTCGAATCCGTGGGAGCTTGCTGTCCTTAGATTTATGGAAGGTGAGCGATCATAGCTCTTTTTTACAAAAAGAGAATATTTAGATTTGTCTTAGTGGCATTCTTTTGTATGCGTGAAACTTAGAAATCATTAGAAGGATTGTTGGTGTTGTGGGTTGCTACAAAGACCTGGATTGGGATTCTTTCTTAAATCCAGTTTACAGTGGGGTTGGTGTCAAATTTTCCATAGTGAATAGTTTTATTGTCCCTGACCATAGTTGTCTTAAAATTGGTGTTGATTCCTTTGTCATTCGAATACAGTGTGATTCCACACCTTCGGCTATGAAGGCTGATGTTCCTGGTGGACATTCTAAGGATCACCATGTAAGAGAGATGCAGGTGTCGAAGAAACCCCAGTCACCGGCGACGGTAGTTCCCCAAGTCAAAGTTAACCGCCAAGTTGGATCCCGACGAAATCCTAGGGAACTGAAAATTCAAAAAAGGGTAACCCCAAAAATTTCAAAAAGTTGGGTGGCTATGGGGTGTTTCCTGGAATATTCGCAAGGTTTCTCCATTTACTTTCATAACCCCCCAGCACCTACGTTAAGAGATATGGAAGGTTTGAATAGGGTTTTCCCAACTGAGATTTCGAAAAATACAGATTTTATGCCAAAAATGGTGCCTAACGAGTGGATACTTGATGATGCTTCACCGGCACAGTGTGGTCGCTTGGAGACAGTAGCTGATGTTCCATCAAATTTTTTATGCGAATTTGGTGCCAAAGTTTAGGCGGCACCTTTTGCTGATACCTTGTCATGCACGCCTGGGGAAAGATCTTCATGCCATCAGCTCACCTTTGGGAAACAGTCCAAAGTACGGGTGGTTGCTTGTCCCCCGGTTACCATGCCTAAGGAGATTTCTCTTCCTTGTTTGATCAAATAAGATAGCACACCTCACTTTCCTAAGGAGTTCTCCTTGGTTACTGCTCTGGTTTTCCTCTTTGTTCACTGGAAAGGTTTCGGTCGAGCGTGGTATGTGGTGATCGTCTGTGCTATCCTCAACTATAAGATGCATCCTTTGCCTTTCCGGTATGCAATGGCTAAGGGCTATCCCAAGAAGAGTCGCAACCGTTTTGACCCCTTGCTTATTGATCATTTGGCGATTGTGATGGTGGACCCAGATGAACCTCGGCTTTTGTTGGAGTCAAATGAGGTTCATGTTGTATCTCCCCCTGTGGATGCTCCTGCGGACAGTTCTGCGTTGGATGATGCGTCTATTACAACCTCAGACTTGGCCATGGTGATGCTTCCTGAGCTACTACCTTTGGTGGTCCTTCCCTCACCTACTGATGCAAGTAAAGATAAAATGGATGATTCTCCCTTGGTCCAAAAGTTGTTGATCGATATGGGTATGGAGAATGTTCCTTTGGCGATGGTGATGTCTGAGATCCGTAAACACAAGAAAGCTAAAGATGCAGTGAAGGATAAGGATCTTCCCAACCCAACTGGATTGAGCCCTGCTAAAGATTCGGTGATTTGTACCTCGAGTGGAAAGGAATTAGCTTGGGCTAAGGGGAAGAAAAATTTTCATCGTGGTGTTCGTTCCTCGGCTAAGTTGGGGGCTCGGGGCATTCCTAAAAGAGGTGTTCTGAATTCTGGAATTTCTTTCCATGAGCCTGAGTTGGTTGATCTTGGCACATTGTCCTCTTCCTCGCTGTCTGATGATGATGGGTGGGAGGACATGTTCCTGCTTGAAGCTCGCAAATGGGCCAGTCCTTCTGGCCTAGGTTCTTCATCCTCTCCTCCCTCGTTTTAATGAATATTTTATTATGGAATGTTAGGGGCCCAGGTGATCCCAGGCATAAAAAGGATGTTCGATTTTTACTATCTAAGCACAAACCTTTAATTTTGGCTTTACAGGAGAACAAACTTCCTAGTCCTTCTCTTTCTATGGCTAGGGAAGTCTAGGGCTCAGGGGATGTCTATTTTTGTGGTATTGATGTTGTTGAAAATTCTGATGGGATTTGGATTCTTTGGGACCCATTGGTGCTTAGTAACTTTGTTTCAGTTGCTAAAGATAATTTCATACTTCTGTTTTTTCCTTGAAGCGTAATTTTATTGAGGAGATGTCTTCTATGATTAGGGATTTTTCTTTTCCAATTGTTATTGGGGGAGAATTTAATCTTATCAGGTGGCCTGATGATTGTTTAGCAAGCTACCCAATTAATTTCATGATGGGATTTTGTAACAGGTTTATTGTAGATAATTCCTTTTTGGACCCATCGATTATTGGATCAAGATTTACTTGGTATAATGTTGGGAATCTTGCAATGTCCAAATTAAACAAGTTTCTGATTGCAGCAGATTGGGCAGAGGTTTTCCCTCTTGTTTTTGTAAAGTCCTTGGTGCACTTGTCCCCTGACCATCTTCCTATACTCCTAAATACGGGAGTCTTAAGGGTGCCCCAAACCCTTTGGATTCAAATTAAGCTGGTTGGAGAACCAAGAGGTAGTCGATCTTATTAGGAGAATGTGGGCTACCACGGTGGTTTTGGGATCCATGGATTTTCAAATCCACAAAAAGCTACTGAACATAAAGGATAAACTGTTGGAGTGGAGAAAGGAGAACCAGTGAATTTTAAAACCAAGATAGGTGGATTAGTTGCTGAGATTGAATTGTTGGACCATAACATTCAAGAGAGCGGTGTTCTAACTGATTAGTTGGATTCGGAGCGTAGTCTTAAAGTCAAAGACTTGGAGGAGGCGCGGAGAATTGAGGAAATATATTAGAAGCAAGGATCAAGGAACAAATGGTTGAAAGAAGGTGACCTTAACACAAAATTTTTCCATGCAATTGCTAGTGTCAAAAGAAGACAAAATGATATTTCAGATCTTTCTATTCTTGGAATTGATCCGAATGATAGTGAGGCTATAGAAGGATAGGTTATTCAGCATTTTAAGGCTGCTTTTACTAAGGAGGTGTCTTTACAACTTAATTTTGATAATGTCCCTTTCAAAACTCCAGATAGTCGCCAGCTAACCTCATTGGAAAGGAACATCTCTATTGATGAACTTAAATGTGCAGTCTTTGTATTGCATGGAGAAAAAACACCTGGTCTTGATGGCTTCCCTCTAGTCTTTCTCCATAGATTATGGAATTTGGTGAAGGATGATTTATTGGTGACGGTGAAAGGATTTTTCATCAGAGGTCATCTTTTAAAAGGAGTTAATTCCACTTTTTTGGCTTTGATTCCTAAAAACTCAATGATCAGTGGGTTATCTGACATTCGACCTATAATCTTGCTTTCGAGTATTTACAAAATTATTGCTAAAGTCTTAGCTGAGCGGCTTAAAGGGGTCATGCCTTCTCTTATTTCAACATCACAATCTGCTTTTATCAAGGACCGTCAGATTACTAATAGTGTCTTAGTAGCTCAAGAGTGTATTCACTCTCGTATGTTGAGTAAGAGAGCAAAAGTTGTCACGACCCCGCCCCCGGACCCCTACCGTACCACTTCGGAGGGCGACCTCAGGGCACGATCCCGCACTCTGTCGCCCTCCGGCGTGGTATGGTAAGGGTCAGCGGGGGTAGTGCTCCTTAAACTGGATCTAGAAAAAGCTTATGATGAAGTTGAGTGGGGGGTGTTATTAAAAATTATGAAAAAGATGGGGTTTAGACCTCGATGAAGAAGTTGGATCTATGGATGCCTCTCTACGACACATTTCTCTATGCTTTTCAAGGGGAGCCCTGCCGGATTTTTTAATGCTTCAAGAGGGCTTAGGCAAGGTGACCCTCTCTCCCCTTTCTTATTCACCATCGATACTGAATGCTTTAGCCTTATGCTGACCAGGGTTGAGAATTTAGGTAATTTTAAGGGTTTTCAGATTGCAAATTCTGATATTATTGTTTCACATTTACAATATACGGATGATACTATTATTTTATGTGATGCAAATGAGGAACAATTAGGTAATGTTAGAAATATGTGAAGTGGTATTGGGGATCAAGGTGAACTTTCATAAATCATCTCTGGTAGGGATCAATTGTCTCGAGAGGAATGTCCATAATTTGGCTTTAGTAATAGGTTGCAAAGTTGAGTCTTTTCCCATTACCTATCTGAGGATACCAATTTCATATTCAAAGTTTTCTATTGTTGTTTGGGACAAGGTGATTGAGAGGGTACAAGTTAAACTTAACTTGTGGAAGTATAAATACCTATCTTTAAAGGGTAGGTCACTCTTCTAAAATCATGCCTAGCCAATCTTCCTGTATACCAGATTTTCGTGATTGAAATTCTAGTTTTGGTTGCTAAAAAGATTGAGAGAATGATGAGAGAATTTTTATGGGGTTCGCATGGTGAAAACAAGAAATTCCATCTTCTTAGATGGGATAGAGTATATACACCCAAGCGTGAAGGTGGTTTGGGTATCCAGAATCTGAAGAATTTCAATTTTGCCTTGTTATGTAAATGGTGGTGGAGAAGTGTTCATCTGAAGGATCATATGTGATGCTAAGTTTTGATGGCAAAATATGGATTGGAAGAATATGAAGCCTTGCCTGGTGGTGGTAGAGGTATCAAAATCTCTTACATTTGGAAAAGTATTTTTAATTGCAGGCCTATGATCTCTGGTTACTATTAGATGAAATATTGGTAGTGGAAGACAGATTCTATTATGACATTACAAATGGTTAGGGGACTTTCCTCTGAAAGTCGTGTTCCCTGACCTTTTCGGGGTGGTTTCAAACCCAAATATTTTGATTTCTCATGCGAATGAAAGGAGAGGCCATAGGATCTCTTGGAACATTCATCTTATTTATAGACGGCTAAATAATGTAATATTGTCACAATGGTGTGCATTGATGTAAATACTGGACAAGGTCTATGTTGCACAAGATGCTGATGATATGTTGGTTTGGGAAATGGTAAATAATGGTTTCTTTTCAGTTAAATCTTGTTACAACTTATTCTTCCATAACTAGTGGAGATGGTATTCTTCTTTTATTAGTCAAGTCTAGAAATAGCCGATCCCCCATAAAGTGCAAATTTTTGTTTGGTTGGCTGCCCAAAATAAAATCTTAACAATTGATAATCTCCTCAAGAGGGGAAAAATTCTACCAAACATTTGCTTATTGTGTAAACAAGATGGGGAATCAGTCAACCATCTTTTGCTTCATTGTCCCTTTACTTCCAGAATTTGGCACTGGTTGAGGAGTTTGGTTGATGTATCATTGGCTCTTCCGTAAAATGTTCGTAACTGTATTGATCAGTTCTCTCCTCCTTTCTTGCCTAAAGTGGGGAGTGTGATTTGGAAAATAGTAAAAGGAGTGATCCTTTGAGAGGTGTGGAAGGAGAGAAACAAGAGGTATTTTGAAGGGGTTGCTTTGTCTTTTGACAATTTGCTTCACCTAATTAAATTGTCTATCTGGTCAAGTCTTTCAATGTCTAAGGAAGGTTGGGGTATCTCTAAAGTGGATGTTATGATAAACCTTCCTAATTTATTTCTCCTTGATATGCATAAATGTAGGCCAAAAGGTTTATGGGTTTCTCCACCTTTGGGTTGTATTAAGCTGAATTTTGATGGGAGTTTCTTTGGAAACCCAGGCCCTGCCGGAATTGGTCGAGTGTTTCAATATTCCTCTGGTAATATCCTTCTGTCCTATGCAGGTCCAATTGGTGTGGCTATACCTAACTTGGTGGAATTAAATGTTGTGCTTACAGGGGTGGAGATTTTTATGGAAAGGCACATGGGATCCTTGTGTGTGATTGAAGGAGATTCTTTGAATATGATCCAGTGGTATAGAAAGGACCAACAAATTCTATGGGAACTTCATTATTTATGGTTGAAGATTTTGGATGTTACATCTTCTATTTCTGTTTCCTTTTCCCATGTTTATAGAGAGGCTAATGGTATTGTTGATACATTAGCTAAAGGTCGTGTTTCTCTTGCCTCTCTTACTACAGCCAATGATGTAATCTCTTTCTTGTGATCAATAAAATTTTTGGACGTCTTTCAAAAAAAAAAAAAATAGTGAGCAATTGGCTATTTTATATGTTGGTAATGCAAATATTGATGTTGGATCAGAAAATTTTAAAATTTCTAATGTTCTTTTGGTGCCAAAGATAAAAAAAAATTTACTATCAGTTAGCGCGTTTACAAAAGATTTTCCTTGTATTTTTTAGTTCTCATTAAACGGTTTTCGGATTAAAGAAATGAGCAAAGGGAGAACTCTAGCTAGCGGAAGTAGAAAGGATGGACTTTATGTACTTGAGGATGGGAAGGAAGTTTAATCGAAATAAGAAAACATCTGAAGATGTGTGGCATCAACGACTCGGACATCCTCAAACTAAAGTAGTATGTTACTTAGAATCTAAACAGTTGTCAAATTGGAAAAAGTTGTAAACTCCCATTTAGTAGTACTGATAAGACCTCTACATAACCTATTTTTAAGATTTATGGGGTTTTGCTCTAATTTTATCTGATCAAAGTTATCGCTTTTATGTGGTGTTTGTGGATGATTATACTCTTTTTTTTTTTGAATTTATCCTTTGAAAAGAAAATCTGAATTTTTCTCTACATTTGTGAAATTTCATCATATGGTTGAAAGGAGATTTGATAAACAAAATTGAATTTTTCAATGTGATGGATTTGGTGAATTTACTAAGAAAGAATTCATTGCTCATCTTACTGATAATGGAATTGTGCAGGAGATATCATGTCTGGAAACCCCTCAATAAAATGGAATAGCGGAAAAGAAGCATAGCAATATTGTAGAATCGGGTCTTACAATGATGTTCCATACAGGAATTTCTAAACGTTTTTGGGTTGAAGCTTTCCATGTCACAGTCTTTGCAATAAACAGGATTCCCTCTGCTAATTTGTAATGGATTCACCATATTCTTTGTTGTTTGGTCTCCTACCATATTATTCTTCACTCCAGGTTTTTGGTTGTCGGAGTTTTCCATACCTTCGAGACTATGCTCCAAATAAATTTTGTCTTCGATCTCTTCCAAGTGTATTTTTGGGGTACAATATCCATCATAAGGGTTACATATATCTACGTCCACCCACAGAGCGACTCTATATCTCTAGACATGTTACTTTTTATGAAAATATATATCCTTATACTAACCCCAATTCTTTGTTTGATAGTGCTCAGGTTTAAGAGGAGTTGTTCACCTATGCAAAATGGTCATGAGCCTAACACACAAAGTCCTTCCTCTTCTAATTCATAACCATCACATAAACCACCCATATGGGATGCCTTTGATGTATCTAGTCCCTTAGATATTGCTTTTCCCATCATCAATGATAGTTATCTAACTTCTCTTATAGAAAAAGATGTCACCACTTCAACCCCAATCCAAGATGTCCAGGATGCAACACACAATCATCGTGATGAAAATGTTGCCACTCAAGAACCTCACCAATCTGATTTTTTACCCGACTCTGGGCATTCTCTTCATCACATGATCACAAGATCTCAAGATGGTACTCGAAGACCTCGGATTCTCCCATCCATAGTAGTTGTCTCAAGTGTTTCTACTTTTGAAGCAATCCCTTTTGAACCTAAATCCATTAAGTCTGTATTGGGTCATCAAGGTTGGCATCGTGCAATAGAAGAGGAAATTGAAGCCTTATATGTTAACTCAACTTGGGAGCTAGTTCCACGTCTTCCATGTATGAATATTGTTGGTTGTCGTTGGGTTTATAAGGTTAAAGTAATGTCTAAAGGTAGTCTAAAGAGACTTAAGGTCAGACTAGTTGCTAAATGATACAATCAATTTGTTGGAATTGATTTATTTGAGACATTCAGTCATGTTATTAAGCCTATTAGTATTCGGATTGTGCTCACCATAGCTACTATGCTCTACTGGCCTACCAAACAGCTTGATGTGAAAAATGCTTTCTTGCATGACTTTCTTAAGGAACCTGTATTTATGAAACAAACTCCAGGGTTTATGAGCTCAAAATATCATAATCATATTTACAAATTAAAAAAAGGTTTATGTGGTCTCAAGCAAGCATCATGAGCCTGGTTTGATCGATTTAGTGCATATTTATTATCATTGAGGTTTTATTGCAGCATAGCGGATTTATCTCTATTTGTTTCTCGTACTACTCAAGGCATTATTATCCTTTTCATTTATGTTGATGATATTATTGTTACTAGTGATAATTCGAATCTTCTAGAATGGTTTATTTCCCAACTTCGAAGGGAATTTGTAATGAAAGATCTTGAACCTCTTCACAACTTTCTTGGCATAAAGATATCTTATATTTTAGGTGGAATTTTTCTATCATAAAGCAAATATGCTCGGGATCTTCTAGATTGTGCTTAGATGTTCGGTGCCAAATCTATTTCCACACCAATGACAATGAATAATAAGAATTGTAATTCATTTCCCGATCCATCTCTTTATCAGAGAATTGTTGGTGCACTCCAATACATTACCATAACATGAATTGACCATTCCTATAATGTTAATACAATGTGTCAATTTATGCATGACCCTACAATTGCAAATTTTCAGGCAGTGAAGCGGATTCTTCGTTATCTCAATGGTACACAGTCATATGGTATACGAATCATATCTGATAGTTCCCTTGACTTATATGCTTTCTCTGATGCAGACTGGGCTGGGTGTCCAAACACTCACCGTTCAATCAATGGTTTTTGTTCATATCTTGGCTCCAACTACATATCTTTGAGTGCTAATAAACAATCAATTATGGCTCGTTCAAGTGCTGAAGCAGAATACCGATCAATGACATCCACTACTGCTGAATTGACATGGCTTTCTTTTATTCTTCAGGATATTGTGGTGCCTCTTCCTCAACCACCAACACTTTATTGTGAAAATATTAGTGCTCTTTACATGACAGTTAATCATCTTTTTTATGCCCAGACAAAACACATTGAGTTAGACTATCATTTTGTACGTGAAAAGGTTACTCTTGGAATGCTTATCACTTGATTTGTTTCCTCTCGCAACCAAATAGTTCTTCACCAAGCCTTTACCACGAAATGTTTTTTAAGATCTTTGCTTCAAACTCGAGCTTCAAATGCCTCCTCCGCCGAGTTTGAAGGGGAGTAATAGAAATAAAATTCAAACAAGATAGGAAAGTGACTTACTATTTCCTTTGAGAGAAGAATGTAACAAGATAAGAAAGTGTACATTGCATGTAACAAGATAGGAAAATGTATATTACATCATTGCATTAACATTATCTATACAATGAAAGAACCACCACAAGAATTATGTGGGGCACGAGCACAATTATTTTCTCAAAGAGTTCTTCTCTCTCTAAAATTTCTTTACTCATGGCATTAGACCATTGTAAAAGAAAAAAAGAAAGAAAAAAGAATGTAACAAATGACATGCTTACATCCACCCATTTTCATTCCTAGCTACTAAGGTGGCTTGCCTACATCCACCCAATTTTATTTCTAGTGGTTGTCACATTCTTGTACTAGAAGTAAAGTAAGCAGTTTTATTGTATACTTTTTTATTTCTATTCATCAATTCGATTTCTCTAATTTTTTATTTTTTTTAGAACATTGAATGTAGCATCAACTATTCTATTTACCAAATAACTCCCCTCTTTTGATTGGACATTTTTTATTGTCTGCTCTGCTTGCTCTTTTGACTCATGCTTTCCTTACATGTACTCGCCTTAGATTTTTTTTTTTTGGTTCTTGATTTTCACATAAATTATAGGGGGTTTTAAGAACATATATGATGCTATTTTTAAGATATTGGTCTTATTAGATTTTAATTTTTGAAAAGAGGTTTCTTAACTAGGCATATTAAGAGGGCCAATAGACCAATTTGTCACTCTATGTGATAGAAAATTAAAAGTCCATTTTCTCCCCTTTACGTTTTTTCTTTTTTAATTATTTCTCTCTCTTTCTGTAACATATTCATGCCCTCACATTTTCTCTTTAAAAAAAAACATCTCTCTCTCTCTGTGACAAGTCTGTCACTCTAGATGTTTTTATGCAAAAAACAAAAAACAAAAAACAAAAAAACAAAGGAAGTTTAAGGGCAATACAACACCTGATGACCCAATTGTACTATATGACAAGCCTAACTCTTTTTTTCTCTTATTTTTGTCTCCTCAAACTGATACATTCAAGAGATGCTGAGAAGTAATCAAACCATTCAAAATTAAAAAGTACCCCAAATACAGCACTAAAACCCTAAGTTATCACTACAAATCTATTCCATTGTAGAAAAATCTCAACAAAAACTTTGAAAAGCCTTAGGAAACGAAGGAGGCGCAAGTCCATGTACATAAAGAATTTGTTGCTGCACATTGAAAGCAAAATAAACCTACCTGATTAGGGTTTTTAAGAAATCTATAATCCTAAAGGCTTCTTCTTGTAATCAATTTTAACGTTTTTAAGAAATCTATAAAATAAATAAATAAATTTTAAAAAAAAAAAAAAGCATACTTTACAACTTATAATTTCTGCTACTGTAAGCCACCAAAATTTTGGTGATAAGGAGAAAGGAAGATCTATTCATTCAATAGGTAATCCTACAAGGAAGCAGTACGTTCTTCCCCTTCCTTCTTTTGGGCTTAGGAGAGGCCGAAAGTAGTACCAGGACTCTATACAAGGTGTACAAATTTAAAATTTTCAATAATAATTCAATAACTTTTCCAAAATGGCTTATAGAACCTTGGGGAAATCCCCACAATGACTATAAAATGAGAAAATACAATTATAAAGTACTTGCACTAATGAACTTAAATTACAAATTACAAAAATGGAACCACGCTCAAATATATCGTTCATGATTCTCAATACACTAATTCAAATTGTAGATGCCCCCTGCGAAATTTTGGCTAAGGGAATTCCTAAAAACCTTGATTCTAAATCCAAAGGACCATACAAACTTTAGTAGACCATGGTACATCTAAACTATCAGAATTATCTCAAAACTACCCGAAACCAACCCCAAGTCATAATAGGCCTCAAGAGTTTTCCAAGGGTCTAAGAATTGCTTAAATTGGACCTACGGATCAAAGGTATAACCTTTAGAAGTTTTACGGTAAAAATTTACCAAATTACCCTTGGATTTGGGCCGGACCAACTGCACGTCGCGT